CTGCTGCTGGACTTCCAGAGTTCTCTAACAGGCTTAGGACTTTGAGTTTAGACAGGTGTTGTTTTCAGAACCAGAACAAATTTGGCCGACATGAAAAGAAGCGTGGCGACAGGGGGATAAGATTATCCACGGGATCCTAGGTAATCATATAGAAGAAATTTTCAGTAGGTTTTGAAATTCAGGATTTACTACTATGGTTTGAGTAAGTATCTCCCATATAACTCGGTACTTGGGACCCTTTGGATTAACAACAACTTCGGTCACGAGTACCAGCGCAGGTCTGTTCCTAACCCATAGAGGGAACGGTGCGACACTGATGTTGACAAGATGAAATTTTGCTGGCTCTTGTCTACAGGCAGAGGTACCCTGAACTGAACCCCAAAGCCCCTTAGTACCAGCTACCACAAGCGACTGGTGTAGCTATATGATGGACAGCGGCTTCTCGTCTGACTGCCCCGAAGCCTAAAGCAAGCTCTACACCCAACAAACCCTCAAGTGGAATTGATTTAACCCCAAACCCTGAACCCAAAGCCCTAAACGCAAGTGGATCCCACAGCCCAAGACCCTAAGCCAAAACCGTAAGCCCTAAACCCAAGTGGCCTCACGAATACCATATGCGCAGGCCCGCCTCAAAGCCGAGGCAAAACGTCGGGAGGCCGGGAACTCCGGGCAGTGCTTTGGGGTAATCTGGGAGTTTCCGAAAATTTTAGGGATTCCTTAGGATCCCTTTCGAGGGTTACTATAAGGGTACCATAAGGTTTCCTTTGAAGGGCTCTACCCTAAACTGCTTATATCCTAAACTCTACACCCTAAGCCCCTATCTGCTAGTTGGACCGGAGGTTCATGGGTAGTTATAAGTAGGGTTATAAGTTTAGGGTGTTCCCGAAAATTCGGGGGGGGACCTGAGTTTCTAGTCCTTCGAGTCAGGATCCTACTATTTAGGGTGCTACATTGGGGTCCCCTATCTTCGGAAGCCCCCTAATCCCTAAACCCTGGAAACTTAACAGAACCCCTATAGATCCCTTAAAGGAGCCCTTAAAGGGTCCCCTAATCTTCGGAAGCCCCCCCAAAAAGACGCCTGAGGCCGAAACAGCTAGGAATACCAGGCCACAGGATGCCTCAACACAAGGGTTCAGGGTTTAGGGTTTAGGGCTTAGGGTTTCGGGTTTAGGGTTTAGGGTTCAGGGTTTAGGGTTTAGGGCTTTGGGTTTAGGGTTTAAGGTTTAGGGCTTAGGGTTTAGGGTATTAGGGTTTAGGGTAATGGAGGGGCCGCAATAATGCTACTGTTGATGATTTAAATCCTTTAGAAGGGGCCCCCACCCTGTAGTAGTGGTATAATAGGAATATAATAGGGCCCTAAGAAAATCCTCATAGTCACTATTACAGGGTGGGGGGCAGCTTCTAACAAATCCTGCATTACCTTAAGGACCCTAAACTATGGGAATTATGGTATACTCCTTACAACGGGTAATGCAGGATTTATATCATCAACCGTATGACACAACCTTCTTCAAAACCCTAAACTTTAAAACCCTAGACCTTAAACCCTAAACCCGAAACCCTAAACCTTAAATCCTAAACCCTAAACCCCTGAACCCTAAACCCGAATTCTTGAACCTTCTTCAAAACCCTACTCTCCCAAAGGGTCCTATGTGCCGATATAGTAGAATGTAGGGTTTTCTCATTAGAAATTGCAATTATGACTTAGGGAAGTATCCCCCCTTATCAGTACATAGGACCTTTTGGGTCTAATTGTTGAAGCCTCTGTGTTATTCATTCTGGCGGGGAGCCGGCATTAGTTGCTTGGAGGGTCGGGGGACTTAGGAAGTAGGTAGTAAGTAGACTTATAAGTACCCTAAAAGGGACCCTAATTGGGGTTATGGTACTTATAAGTCCCTAAAATAACCACTTACTAAGTCCCCCGACCCTCCAAGTGGGTTCGTGGGACGCGAGATGGTTTAGGGTCTTTGGGTACTGTTGGTCCAAAGTCGGTTTGCTAGTCTAAGTTAGCTAAAGATTTCGAAGACTGAGATGAAGTACTTTACTATAAGAACTATGGGTGTTTATAGTCATACAAATTTTCATTATTCACATGTATATTCATATATGTTTGTAGATATACACATGTGTATATATATATATATATATATACATATATATATATATACATATATATATATAATATGTATATATATATATGTATATTATATATATATATATGGTATGCATGTACTGTCTATATATATTATATATATATATATATATATTAGTATGCGTCCGTGTAGCTATCCCTCAACATGCTTGTCGAAGGTGGAGGCGCAGCGGGACTTAGCCGAGTCCGAGAGGTTCGCATATGGCTGTTTTTGGATCCTTAGGTTAGGCCTTGTAGGGGTTTGGGGTTTAGGGTTAGGTTAGGGCTTGTGGGGGTTTGGGGTTTAGGTTAGGCCTTGTAGGGGTTTGGGGTTTAGGGTTAGGTTAGGGCTTGTGGGGGTTTGGGGTTTAGGTTAGGCCTTGTAGGGGTTTGGGGTTTAGGGTTAGGTTAGGGCTTGTGGGGGTTTGGGGTTTAGGTTAGGCCTTGTAGGGGTTTGGGGTTTAGGGTTAGGTTAGGGCTTGTGGGGGTTTGGGGTTTAGGTTAGGGCTTGTGGGGGTTTGGGGTTTAGGGTGGGATATTTACTAGAGGCTCTTGAAAGGGTTCTAGATGAACTTGCTATAAGGGGTTCTACAAGGATTTAGACTTTAGGGTTTGGGGTTCGGTGGGGTTTCATCCAGAGTGGTTTCGAGTTTGCGGTTCAGGGTTTTAAGGTTTGCTGACGGCTTTCCAGTGCTTTTTGAAAAGCCAGCTTCCGAAGCTTGCCTATGCATTTGGTAAATGAATATGGGGGCCCAAGTTTGGCCTAAAGAAATCTATACATGATCCTAAACCCTATCACGGTTCCTCATTGTGCTCACGGTATTTCGTACCCCCCCCCCCCCCCAAAGCTTCTGCTACTTGTTCAGGCCTGAGGCCCTCATATCACTGTCCTTTGTGGGGTTGGGTTTAGGGTTTAGGGTTTAGGTTCACGCTTGACATGGAATTCCCCGGTGGCTGAGACCATGAGACAACCACAGGTTTAGGGTTCAGGGTTTAAGGCTGTATAAGCACCACCGCCACTATGGCCATGCAGTGCCGCCACCACTGCACGAGCGCCACGGCCACCGTCGCCAAACGGCCACACTTATGACGAGAACAGCACGAGTTGTAACGCAGAACCTGACACTTTCTTACTATATGAAATTTATTATATAGTATTATTTACCATATAATAGTATACTAAAGATACTCCCGCGATGCTGTCTCTATCGTGGACGGCAACGACAATCGAGCAGCTACCATTACACTACACGAGCGTCGACCCCTGATTTATCAACCCCTTTCTTGAAGGTTCCCCGGTTTGGGATCCTTGTTCTGCTAGGACTAGGACCCAAAGTAGGCCCTTATTCCCTTTTTAAGGGTTTAGGTTCCCTTATAACCCCCTTTATCCCGAAAAGGGCACCCTTTTTATTCCTAGGTTACTTCTGGGTCTAGTCTGGGTATCGATTTGGGATCCTAAACCGTTTAGGGTTCAAGGTTTATAGGGTTTAATCTCCCTCAGTGTTCGATATGGACCCCTAACTGCAAATAGCTTTGGGGACTGTGGAAATCGACACCTAGTGTTCTCTTCGACGACATCTGGAGACTCCCGTACCTCCAACCACCAGCATCGGCGACAAGAACCACTGCTCCTCCTCTCACTGCAGGTTTACTTGGAGGGTCGGGGGACTTGGTAACTGGTTATTTGAGGGACTTATAAGTACCATAACCCCAATTAGGGTCCCTTTTAGGGTACTTATAAGTCTACTTACTACCTACTTACTAAGTCCCCCGACCCTCCAAGTAAGGTTTGGGTGGAGTCCAAGTTCAGGGGCCTCAACTCGACTGACTCAGCCTAAACCTTAGCCTTGCAACCTCAAAACCCTAAGCCCTACACCCAAAGGCTCCATGCACCTTTATAGTAGATACTTAAGCCTTAAAGGGCTCCCTACATAGGTACTTTGAGGCCTATAAGTATATACTATATGGGTACATGGAGCTTTACTTGGAGGGTCGCGGGACTTAGTAAGTAGGTAGTAAGTAGACTTATAAGTACCCTAAAAGGGACCCTAATTGGGGTTATGGTACTTATAAGTCCCTAAAATAACCAGTTACTAAGCGTCCCGACCCTCCAAGTAGGGACAGCCAAGACGGAAGGCTGCGTCTCTTAGCACAGATCGACGAGCAGGAGCAAGAAGCGATGCAGGCAACGTCGTGTTGGGGGTTTAGGGTTTAGGGTTTAGGGTTTGGTCCGTGCTCAAAAAGGGTTTAGGGTTTAGGGGCACAGCTCCAGGGCGATTGGGCTAAACTACTTGTACCATAAGCTCCTTTCAAATGTTAACTATCCAGGCCCCCACTTTAGACTGCGGGAGTTGCGGGGTTTAGGGTTTATAGGATTCAGGGGTTTAGGGTTTCTAGGGTATAGGGGTTTAGGTTGTAGGAGATGAGGGTTTAGGGTTTATAAGATTTAGCGGTTTGCGGAAAGCCTTGGGTTCCTCGAGCCATTCAGCTGAACGTTGGCGAAGGCTTGTTTTGGCTGGGCGGCCTCGCTCCAGGATGCCCCTTAACTACGGGATCTACCTTGAATCGTCATATTGGTCCCCGTTGGTTCAGGAATACACTTTGAATCATAACTTAGGGGTATTTAGAAATAGCTTTTAATTTTTGGTTATTATAATCCCTAAGAAACAGATAAATACAGATATATATATATATATATATATATATTTGTTTTTTTTCGCTGGGGTTCTAAGTTCAGTATAGATAATCTGGTTCCCTTCTAGGTCCAGGAGCTCTGGCAAATTGTGATTTGCTACTTGCGTCATGCTGCAGCCCTTTGCAGGATCGAAGCGTTCCCAAGTTCCAATCTAGGATAGGAGTCCTAGCTACAATGCGATCACTGCTTGGGCACAGGAGGAGCCTCTTTTGGCTCGGTTGCCTTGCTTTGACGGCCTGGCAACCGAGGCTTTTCGCTGTCTTGACACGTGGGCCAGGCGTTGAGCATCAGGATGTTACTCCTTCATCGCGCTTGACGCCACGGATCACCGTACCTTGGGGAGCAAGAGCCCTAAAAGAATCCATGGTTCAGGTTCTTCGCAAACCCCATGATTTTCAATGGCTAGTGGTTGGTGGTACCTTATGCGAAAGAAGCCAGGCAACCAAAGACAACAATTAGCACGGACTCTGTAGGATCATAGGTTCTTAGTGTATAGGACTGAGAAGTCCAGCATACAGAAGCCTGGCTATATAGTTAGCAACAGCATTCACATCACACTCTGATAATTATACACCAAAGCGTATCGACATTTTTGAGGCCCCTATACTGTACATACAACCATTACTCTCGGTGCTTGATAGATCCTCTCAATGAACACGTAAAGTTCAATAGTTTAATTTTTCTGGCACATACATAATATTGGATTTGAGGGTCTTGTCGTCCCTCACTTGGAGATTCATGGTTAGTATTAAGTAGAGTTATAAGTAGGATAAGCATAGTTATAACCCGTATCAAAGGACTTCTAAGCCCACATAGAACCCCCCATGAACCTTCAACTAGGTAGAGACAGCGCCGGCTCTTTTGGCCATCCTTGACGATGAGCTGGACAGTTTCTTCGTGGCTGAATTAGCACACGTCTTACGAACTTTCCTTGGCCTTCTTCTGGATGCCTCTTAGGACTTTAACTTTTTGGGTTTCTATATTAGCTATATTAAGGAGGCTAAAAGTTTAACTTTTAGGAGGGGTTCAGAAGTCAGCCAAGTTTCGAGATAGCTCTCCCTGTACCGGAATGCTTAAGGTAGGTTGGTGAAGCTAAGGGCTCAGCGGCTCCAACTTGGCAGCGCTGCTACGGCGCCTGGCAGCTGGTCTCTTCAATTTGCATAGCTCTAAGGGTAAAAGGAGGGACCCTCAAAAAAAGGACCCCTAGGTATATAAGGGATTAGGTTTTAGGTTTTAGGGGTTGTTCTAAGGGTAAAAGGAGGGACCCTTAATGGGTTTAGTGATTGGGAGTTGGGGATTTAGGGCTTTGGGGATTTAGGGCTTAGGGTTTAGGTTTTAGGGGTTTTTCTAAGGGTAAAAGGAGGGACCCTCAGAAAAAGGACCCTTAGTATATAAGGGATCAAAAAGGGTTCTATAAAGGGTTTAGGGTTTAGGTTTTAGGATTCCCTTAATAGGGACCCCTAGGTATATACCCATAATATAGCTATCATATACCCATTGTATAGCCCATTCTATAGGGTAGGGGTCCCCATTAAGGGTCCCTCCTTTTCCCCTTTGCATAGTTGTTTGCCTTTCCCCTGGGGTTCTGTTATCATTTATCTGCAGATGCTTCTTCCCAGAGGTCTAAACCCAAAACCCTAGGCAAAAAACCTTTCCAAGTGGGTTACTGAACAAGCTACGGGAGAAGCCAGAGAGTTGGAACATCATTATCCTCAAGTATATGGAATCCCCGCACTAATCATCCTAATCCATGTTTCAACTTTGCACTAGAGGCGAAGTTTCAGCAGAAGCGCTTGGATTCCTCTCTCATTGCGAAGCTGCGGGAGATCCTCCCAAAAGCTACAAAGGCAGCCCGATGCTCCAATGCCCGTGCGGTTTAGGAGTTAGGGGTTAGGACTTGGGGTGTACCTTTAAATGGATATGTACACGAACAGTTTAAACTTCAATTTAGCATTTAGGGTTTCGGGTTTGGGGCAAGATGCCTCAAACTTAAACTGCAGGGCTTAGCCTTCATGTGCAAGGTGTACACAGGTCTAGAGCTGCGAGTTCATAGGGCTTTCAGGTCTAGGGCGCGCAACACTTCAGGGCTTGTTTATTATGACGGCGTTGTGTGGCTTTATACAAGTTCGTTTGGATTAAGCGTTGTTTTTTCAGAGTAGATATACCTATGGGCTAAGGATACCCTCCAAGAGCCTAAACCCTAAGCCCTAAGCCCTAAACCCTAAACCAAGAGCTACAAAGGCGGTGCAGAAGTCCACCATGAGCCCCCGGGAGCTCTGTACTTGCTTTTGGGCTTCTGCCCACTTGGCGGATGTTGCACCTTAGGGGTACTTAGATTTTTTTTAATTTTTGGTTATTACACTCCCTAAGAATTTTCTTTAATTTTTGGTTATTATAATCCCTAAGAAACCGCTAAAATTATATTTTTGCTAAGGTTCGAAGTTCAGTATAGGCACCGGAGGCACTCAACCTCGCCAAGGTTGCTGGGAAAAAGATCCCAGGGAAGGTTTCATCACTGCAGCACCAGGGTCTTTCCCAGTGCTTCTGGGCGGCAGCACATTTGCAAAGCACTTCAAAAAAAGGCGAGCAGCCTCTGCAGAAGGTGCTGAGGAAAGTGGCAGCTGCAGTAGCAAAAACTCTACCTGAGACTTAGGGGTACTTAGAACTCATTTTTAATTTTTGGTTATTATAATCCCCAAGAAACGGCTAAAATTGCAATTTTTGCTAGGGCTCTAAGTTCAGTATAGAAACCTAAGCCCTAAACTCTAAACCCTAAACCCTAAGCCCACGAGGTGAGAGCTGCGGAGCTGAAACCGCAGGAGGTCTCGAATTGCCTTTGGGCGTTGGCGCGGCTCCAGGGCAGAATGCCTGAGCTACTTGAGGTTTTACCAGCTCTGGCAGACCGACTGCCTGAGAAGCTGGGCTCTTGCTAAGAAACTTCTGTCAAGTTGCTACGAGAAAGGACACCCTATACCTAATCTATTCCTACAGATCCCTAGTATGGTAACTTGTTTACAGTTCCTTACTATAGATCCTTACTCTAGAACCCAGGAAAGTGCATGGGATGACGCCGCAGCACCTCTCGAACTGCCTTTGGGCGACGGCTCAGCTGCGGAACCACGAGAGTGCCTTGAAGAATGTCGAGCCCCTTGCGAGCCTGGGCTCTTGTGATAAGGGCCTTTAGGGTTTAGGGTTAGGGTTTATCCTTAAACTAGGATGCCCAGTAGTACCCTTATTCCCTTTTTGTAGTCCTAGGTTCCTTATAAAGTTACCCAATACCAAAAAGAGAGGCCTTTTTATTCTTAGGTTACTGGGTATCCTAGTAAGGGTTATCATAAGGGTTATACTGTAAAAGTTACTATAAGGGTTCCTATAAAGGTTGCTATAAGGGTTGCTATGGGGTTTGGGGTTTAAGGCGTTTATGAAGGAACTTAATGTAGGTTACCACAGAACGGATCTATAGTAGCGAATGGTGTTTCGTTGAGGAATCTACTAGAGTTACTCTAATTTAATAGGAATCTATAGTAGCTGAAAAGGTTTCCTTATTATGGTAACTTAAAGGATAGAAATTCCTCAACAAGAGCCAGGAAAGCGATCCGCTCGGAAACGAAGAGGCTGAAGCCCCAAGAGCTGGCCACTTGCTTGTGTGCCTCCGCACACCTCAAGGACGTAGCGCCGGAGGTTCTTCAGCTCGTGCCCGCCGTGGCATACTCGGCGGAGGAGTGTGATCTGATACCGGGCTCTTGTTCAGAATGTTTGATACCACTCTTTTAATCAGACAAGGGTCTATATTGGGAATTTGGGTTTAGTTGCCTATATCAAGAACCCAAGGAAACCGCGAGAGCTCTCCAACTGCCTTTGGGCCTCTGCGCACCTCGTTCACGAGGCTCCATCAGTGCTGAGCATGGCAGGGGCACTGGCACAACGAATTCCGGAGAGTGCACCTCGCATCTTGGCGTTCTTCTGGTTGGCTCTTTAGACTTTAACTTTTTGGGTAACTATAATAAGGAGGCTAAAAGTTTAACTTTTAGGAGGGGTTCAGAAGTGAGCCAAGGCATGACATCCCAGGAGGTCTCGAACTACCTCTTGGCAGTTGCGCTCCATGATGGCGAAGATAGTGGGCTGACAAAGATCGGCGACCAGACGCTTCTGGCTGGGGTCGAGCGGTTGAAGCAGCTCTTGCTGAAGCTGACGAAGCAGCAACTCTTCATTCACGCACCCACCGTTCTGTGGGCCTGTGCCCGAGCTGGCCACAGGGATGTGGACCTACTCACCCGCTTGGCCAAGAAATACCAAAACCTGGCCAAACGGTTGCCCACCTGGTGCCTTGGTCGCCCTATGCATGTATATAGCTGGATAGATACAACCAAGTACAAACATAAATGAACCGGCAACTTTATGTACATGTATACATACACATACACGCAAAAACACACATACATACATATATGTATATGTACATATGCACATACATGCATATGTAAGTTTTCATATGCATGTGGGTATACATGTGGAAACACATATACACACACATACATAGATATGATCGGGGTTTCTAGCAATAGGGCTCAGGTGTGGGACTCTGAGGCTGAACATCTTGAAGTCACATAGAGCATCCCTTCTCACATCGCGCTTTTCGAGACTTTGTAGCTGGGTTTAAGGTTCGGGGTTTAACCGGGGTTTAGGGTTTAGGATTAGGGTTTGGGATTTAGGGTTTGGGGTTTAGTGTTTAGGGTGGTCGCGTCAGTCCGCTCCGGATTCCCGCAGAGAGCGATCGAGACAGACGGAAAGACATAAAGACGGACGAAACTGAAAATTCCCAGCCTTCCCAGCAAGGCCAAACAAGGTGAGCATGATTGCAACAAAAATGCAGGGTTTAGGGCTCGCACCACAACCGTGATGTTTTTCCTGAGAGGCAAGCACGTGGACGACTGATATTTAGCTTACCCCTAAAACATCAAAAATCTAAACTCAAGCCCAAGACTAGCAGCAACGAACTGTTCGAGGATCGCTGAGCGACTGTTACCGGCAGCATATCACACTAGTTTAGTGGCCTGAACAATTTTGTGATCATACATTGTCTGCTTGTCGTCCCCGGCATAAGATTACCATGATATGCCCCCTCCACCAAAAAGAAACGTCTTCCACCTTCCAAGGCGCCCAGGTGCCGAAACCCAACCTTACCCCCAAATAACTTACTTTTTTCAGGACTTATATAAAGAACTGAAATTAGGGAACCCGAAAAAAGGTAGGCTCCTCAGATCAGGGTCCGAGAAGACCCTGAACTCAGCACCGTGCGAAGTCAAGGAGCTTACTATCTATGGCTTGGAGTTTCGAGCGACTGGGAGCAGGAGGCTCTTTGGGGATTTTGGGGTTAATTAGGGTTTTTAGGGTTTAGGGGTTTAGGGTTTAGGGTTTGTTTTTTTTTTGGGAAACGGACTAGAGACTATGGGGCTCCTGTGAGATTGAGGGTGCGTTGACGGGTTCTAGAAGTTGAGCTACTCTAAGGGTAGTTATCAAAATTCTGGCCCCTTTTTGGGTACCCTGAAAATTAGGTGCCGTACTATAATAAGGACCCAAAAAGGGACCCTCATTTTGACAGCCACCTATAAGGGTGCTATAAGGGATTCAATAGCTAGTCATACCGTTCCTCAGGGTTCATTATTCAGTTTTATGCCGTGACATACCCCAATACAATGCGGAGGCTCCTATATTGCGTACGTAGAAGATCCTGGAACGCTGGTAAAAGGTAGCTGTAACATTCGTAACTACTCGCTTAGAACCTTGCCATAAGCCCCCTGATGTTGGAACAGCAATGGTGGCGGAGCACACAGGTGAGCCACAACGACGTGGAAGTGAATCTTGATCAAATACACTCTCTCTCGACCCCATAGAACGAAACGGTTTAGGGTGTATAGGGGCTTCCCGTTTCTTTTCCTAGTCGTCGAGTACGTAACCGTTAACCTTTTTTGGGTAGTATAGTCCCTATATAATCCCCATATAACCAAAAAGGTTAACCTTAAGTTCCCCATGATTCCCGACAAGTAGGTGAGAGAATGCGCCTGGTCCTGTACTCCGTCGCTCAAGATGAACTGCAATCTTGGTTACCATACTCGAAGCCGCAGCCGAAGTCCGTCAAAGCTCGAGCCCGTCATGTCTACTAAACCCCCAAACCCTAAACCCTAACCCCCTGAATCCCTAAACCCTAAACAACCTCCCCGGAGGTTTCTTTTGCATGTTTTCCAAGAGAGGAGCCAGATCGTCCTCACTTAGGACTTAGGCGTACTCAGATGTTTAATGCGGATCCCTAAGAAATAGCTACAACTATAATTTTTGCTAGGGGTCGAAGTTCAGCATAGAGGATCCTGATTCAGTTTCAATCCGACGGCCTCAAAGGTCAAACAGTGCATCTGGGTGGTTGTCAAAATTTGGGTCCCGTTGCTAAACCCTGGTTCTTAGTGTAGGGAATGGGGGTTCCTCTAAGGGTTCCTGTAAGGGCTGCTATCAGGGTCCTATGTTCTGATATAGTAGAATGTAGGGTTTTCATATAGGAGTTACTATTGTGACTTAGGGAGAAATTCCCCATAAGAGTACATAGGACCCTTTGGGAAGGCCAAACAGTGAATTTGGGTGGTTGTCAAAACTAGGGTCCCGTTTTGGGTACCCTAGGTTTTAGGTACCGTACTATATTAGGGGCCCAAAAAGGGACTATAATTCTGACAACCAGCCATTTGCAGGACCCTAAACCCTAAACCCTAAACCGTGGGCAGGCTTCACAAACTTTCAGGAGGTTCTCCGCGCCAACATCGAGATGCGAGGGTGCCGGGCACAGACAAGCACCTGTTTTGAGGGTCGAGGGTTTTGGCTTACAGGGCTTCGGGTTTAAATTTTTGGGTTCATATAGGGGCCAGGGTTTTGAATTTTAGCTACATATTGCAACCGTTTACCGCAATGCAGCTCGTCATGAGCAGGCTTCTGCCAACCTTACCTCCCTAAATGCTAGGACCTGCATGACATTGTTGTTCTTGTGAGTGGTTTGTCAGTCTGCGCACCAGTTGCGACACAATACGCAACAATCTCTTGGCAGCCAGAACTAGAGCAGACAATCAAAATACTGTTGTGTTTAGGGCTTCTGATCAGAGTTCTAGCCGATATACTCTATACCTTAAGCTCTAAACTTCTAGCATAGTATACCCTACTGGTATCCCCAAACCCTACAAAATAGTAGGTTATGACCCTTTACTAACAGGGGCTAACCCGTAAAACAGCAGGATTTGGGACCCCTAAGTAAACCTAAACTTCTAGTATAATATACTCTCTAAACCTTAAGTCTAGGGTTTAGGGGTTTAGGATTTAGGGTTTATGGTTTCGGGTTTAGGGTTTAGGGTGGGGCCTTCAGGATTAGAACGGGGCGTAGGAGTAGATATTATATTAGAAAACTGTAGTTGGAACCCTAGGGAAGAGTATGGGTAAGACTCCAGAGAGACTTCGGGATGTCTAGGTTATACACGCACCCTGGATACCCCCTTACTTTAAAGAAGCCATTGAAGGAGGCTTTAAAGGATCCCACCTCTGCCTTTGCCGAGGCTGACCCCTGCAGACGTGGAACTGAGCCAAAAGGGTCCGCTGGAATGGGCTGCTGCCACGAAATCGTCTTAGGCTCCTGGGGTTTTAGGGCTTTACGGGTTTAGGGATTTTCAGGGCTTATTTTGATAATAGGGCTTATAGGGTTTTAGGGTTTAGGGTTTGGGGGTCCTGAGTTCCGTCGCGCTGCGAAGCAAAAAGCTGCTGATGGTGTGGCCTGTAGTCTGAGATCTACTCGTCTGCTTTCGGCGCGATTTGAGGGCAGTCCTTCCTTGCACCATCCTTCACCTACTGCCATCCACGACAGCTCTGCCTATTGAAAAACCCTAAACCCTGAACCCTAAACCCTAAATTATTGCCCTAGAGGTTGCTTCCCGAAGCCTGTCGAATTAGCACGGGCCCCTGAACCCTATATTATACCCCAGTATACGACCTAAACCCGAAACCCTAAAAACCTAAAGCCCTAAACCCTAAAACCCTAACCCCCGAAACCCTAAAACCCTAAGCCCTAAACCCTAAAACCCTAACCCCCGAAACCCTAAAACCCTAAGCCCTAAACCCTGAACCCGACGAACCCTTCAAGCTATCTGCCTTTGGGGCAGCTTCAGTGTGCCTGTCTCGAAGACTGGGTTTCTGAGTGTTACCTTTTTTTCTAGGATGCCCAGTAGTACCCTTATTCCCTTTTTGTAGTCCTAGGTTCCTGATAAAGTTTCCCAATACCAAAAAGAGAGGCCTTTTTGTTCTTAGGTTACCGGGTATCCTAGTTCAGGACCCCTTTACTAAGTCCGAACAGTAGGGAAAAGGGGGTACCCTTACTATAGACGGTCTAACTCAGAAACCTGTAGTATTGCCCTTTTCTTTTCGGGCCCTTGCACTAAATCAGAATAGTAGGAAAAGGGGGTACCCTTACTAGAAACGGCCCACTCAGAAACCTAGAAGTGGCCCTTCGCAAGACTCCTCAAAGCCCAGCACACTGACCGCGACACCCGAAAGGTTTCAGTTTTTTGCTTATGCTGATATTTTGTTCTGTTGTAAACTTGCCCAAAGGGTCTTATGTACCGATATGGTAGAATGTAGGGTTTCCATATTAGGTTTTACAATTATGACTAAGGGAAGTATTCCCCACAACAGTACATAGGACGCTTTGGGCCCGCCAGGAAGAGCAGCGCAAAGTGGAGCTCCAGGCAGGGAAATGATCGGATTCTTATGAGGAAGATTAGTATAGGGGCCTTAGGTTTCAGGGTTAAAGGGGTCTATCAGGGCTACTCTAAGGGCAATTACAAGGATTTAGCATAGGGGCCTCAATAATTACCTGTACCATTTTGGGTATTCCTTACTTTAGTTAGTTATAGTATACATATACCCCCAAACCCTGTTCTACTCATTTAAATCCTTTATAGTAAGCCTTTTAAAACCCTTTGAAGGAGCTCTAGACTAATTACTAAGGCCCCCATAGTATGTCCCATAGTTTAGAAGGGGCCCCCACCCTGTAATAGTGGTATAATAGGAGTATAATAGGGCCCTAATATAATCCTTATAGTCTATTACAGGGTGGGGGCAGCTTCTAACCCATAGTCTGTACTTCTTCGGCTCTGCGTTTGTAAGGCTCAAGGGTCCCAAGGCTTAGGAGTTGAAGAGTTCAGGGCTTACCTTATCCCTAAATAACCTACAATTTTAGGGTTCCTCATTATGGTTTCCTGATATAAGTCCTTAAAAAGGTAGGTTCTTCCGGGGTTAAGGTAGGGTTTATGAGACTTGGGCTTTCATGTTTTAGGAAGTTTGTCGGGAGTTTTGAGGTTTTA